GGCCCGGTGCCCGCTCCCCTCCAGAGAAGCAGCGGTGCCCACAGCTCCCTTCCCACCCTCGTTCATAATTCACCCGCGCCGAGGCCTCTCCCTTCTCACGAGCATCACCGTGCGGCCGCAGCGCCCACGGCCTCGCCCGGGAGTCACGCACCCTGCCAGGCACACAGCTCCAACGCTGCCTTTCAGACCCATTTACTGCAAACCAAACAGCCCGAGCTGCGCTTTTATTAACTCTACAGCACGCCAGGGAGAAGAGATGCTTCTCCAGCACCCAAACCCCTGCAGGTTAGCCCACGCCAGGGAACGTCTGCCTTTCGTCTTCCTTCTCGTGCCTCCTCCGCAGCAACTGTCTCTTCCCCTCAAAGAGCACAATGCCAGCGGCGATAGCGGAGTTCAAGCTGTCCACGCCTGGCACCACGGGAATGACCAGTCTCTTCCCCCCGGTGCTGGCCGCGAGGTGGAGCGCGTCTGGGCTCAGACCGTGGGTCTCTCCGCCGATCACCACTGCCACTGGGGTCCGTGTCCAGTTCTCGTAGTAATACTGTGCGGGCAGCTCTGGGATGCAGACGCCTGCTGCTCCCTCATCATCCTCTCGCTCAGGAGCGGCCTTGGGTTTAGATTTCGCAGGAGCTTTCGGGTCGCCAGGAGCAGAGCCAGCCCTGCCCCCTCCCCTCGGCACGGACGCGGTCTCAGCCCGAGCGCCTGGGTCCTTGTTGTCGGCCACGCAGACCTGGATGCCGGCAGGAAGGTTGCTGGGAACAGATTCCCAGTCCAGGCTGGCGACGATGGGCAGACGGAAGTGAGCGCCCATGCCTGCGCGGAGCACCTTTGGCTCCCACGGATCCACGCAGCCTGAGACGGGTGGGAGGAAAACAGCGACAGTGCAGCGGCTGCGAGAAGGACGGGTTCAGTAGCTGCTGCCCACAGCAAATCATGCCTGTGCCAGGCACTGCTCACAAACTCGGCAGCAACACCTTCAAGCACCTCTTACTCCCTGCCTTACCCCCAAATTACTTAAACTACGCTTCTTTTTCCCCAGGGAAAGGCGCTTACCTTTGGTGAGCAGCACTTTCTCACAGCCTGCTCCTGCTGCAGATCTCAGAATCGTCCCCAGGTTTCCCGGATCTCGGATGTTGTCGCAGATGAGGAGCAGCGGCAAGGAGCTGGTGAGCTGAGCAGCAGGGTACGACATCTTGGCAGGGTTGGGCTTGGCAAAGATCCCTGAGGAGACAAAGTGCTGAGAGGCTTCTGGCTAACACACCCCAAGGAGAGGGCCCAAATTTTTCTGAAGAGGTGCTGGAGGAAGCACTGGGGAGAGCACTGCTTAGGAGAAGTCTGAGAAGAGTTTGTCACTTGACACGGAGAACTACTTCCCAGCAGAGCTGGAGCAACGTGCTATGAAAAAGGAGCATTAGAACCTTTGGGGCACTCTAGGAACCACTTCCACAGTTACCACGGCAGGGCAAAGGAAAGGGAATTCTCTCAAATTATGCCCAGCATGCCAAGGGAAAGGGAATTCTCTCAAATTATGCCCAGCAGGCCGAAGGAAAGGGAATTCTCTCAAATTATGCCACTCTTGACACACGCCAGAATGTCCAGAGCAAGGTTATGAAGAGGCTGTCATTATCTGCTTACGAAGGGCGAAAGGAGTTTCCCTTTGAGCAGCGCTGCGGCTGTTTCCAAGGCCACTTACCCACAAGACCCTGAGGAGTGATGAGGTCGGACCAGCTCTTAATGTCTTCAAACTTCACCTTCACCAGGCTGCCCAGCTTCAGCTCTGCCTCGGGCAGCTCCTTCAGGTGCCCCACGCTGCTGAAGAAGAGGGTCTGCAGCACGGCCCCTGCC